CTGGCTTCCACACATACACACGACCCCTTCTTCTGTCAACACCCAGCACCACAGTGGAATGTTTGTTAAAATCAATGAACCTACAGTTACACAGCATTATCTACTCCAAATCCATAATTTACATTAGGGTTCACTCTTGGTGTTATACATTCTATGGATTTTGACAAATGCATAAGGACATGTATCCACCACTGTATTATCACACAGAAGAGTTTCACTGTCCTAAAGCTCCTCAGTACTCTGCTTATTTGCCCTTCCCTCCCCCTAATCCTTGGAAACCACTGATCTTTTTACCATTTCCATAGTTTTGTCTTTTCCAGAATGTCATATAGTTGAAATCATACAGTATGTAGCCTTTTCAGTTTGATTTTTTTTTTCATCTGGTAATATAAATTTAAGGTTCCCCCATGTCGTTTCATGGCTTGATAGCTCATTTCTTTTGAGCACTGAAGAATATTCCGCTGTCTGGGTTTACCACAGTTTATTTATCCATTCACCTCCCAAAGAACAACATGGTTGCTTCCAGATTTGGGTCATTACGAATAAAGCTGCTATAAACATTGCTGTACAGGCTTTTGTGTGGACATAGGTTCTTAGTTCATTAAGGTAAATACAAAGGAGCACAACTGCTAGGTCATATGGTAAGAATATGTTTAGTTTTGTAAGAAACTGCCAAACAGTCTTCCAAAGTGGCTGCACCATTTCACATTCCCACCAGCAATGATGAGAGTTCCTGTTTTCTCCACATTCTGGTCAGCATTTGGTGGTGTCAGTGTTTTGAATTTTGGCCATTCTAATAGGTACATAGTAGTATCCCATTGTTGTTTTAATTTCTAATTCCCTAATGACATAGGATGTTGAACATCTGTTTGTATGCATATTTGCCATCTGTAGATCTTCTTCAGTGAGTTGTCTGTTCAGGTCCCTTGCTCATTTTTTAATTGGGTTGTTTATTTTCTTACTGTTGAGTTTCAAGAGTTCTTTATATACTGTGGATACCAGTCCTTTATGAGATGTGTCTTTTGCAAATATTTTCTCCCAGTCTCTCTTCTCGCTCTCTTGACATTGTCTCTTGCAGAGAAGTTTTTTTTTTTATTTTAATGAAGCCCAGTTTATCAATTATTTCTTTTAGGGATCCTGCCTTTGATGTTGTATGCAAAAAAGTCATCGCCACACTCAAGGCTGTATAGATTTTCTCCTATAGTATCTCCTAGGAGTTTTATAGTTTTACATTTTACATTTAGGTCTAGGATCCATTTTGAGTTCATGTCTGTGAAGGATGGAAGGTCAGTGTCTAGACTCCTTTTTCTCCATGTTCATGTCCAGTTGTTCCAGCACCTCAGTCATTTTTTCAATGACTGCATTTCCAGCTTCCCTCAGCTCCCAAAATCCGGGTTTATTTTTTATTGCAAAATAATTTTCCTACTGTTCAGCTCCTCAGTTTTTCTAGAGGGCCTCATTTTTATAACCAGTCACTGATCCAAAGAAGTAAGAGACTCCCTTATTGCATGTCCTCCGTTAGAACATGTTAGGCAACACGTGAATAGGAGGGAGGTGGTCACTGGCTTTGCCATAATTTCATTCCAACTGCAGATAAAACAGACCCAATACTGTCATATAAAAAAATAATAAATTATTGTGCTAGACAGCTTTCCTATTTTCGTCTTGTGCTTTTTCATTCTTTTCCTTCTTTCTCTTATTTTTCAATGTTTTGTGAAATAAAACCACAAAGAGGCTTATAACTAAATCCTGATTAAAGAATTTAAGAAATGAGACTGCTGTGCGCGTGTATATATGTACACACACACACACACACACACACACAGTCTCTGTATTTTACACTTAAGTACTGTTTCCAATATTAATTATCACATTTCAAATGTTACTCTTCTATCCTCATTCCGGCATTTCTTAGCATCGTATTATCTAAGATATATTTTAAATAAGTCAACACATTGTAGGAACCAGTTTAATAACTGATAAAGCACCTTCTTCCCACTTGCTTTCCAACTTCAAGAGAGCATTTTAAAGAACAATTAATATATTTCTTCCACCATTTTAAAGAACAATTAATACATTTCTTCCACATTTGATGGGCCAATTACTGACATTTGTTTGCAAGGTAGAGTAGGAAAGTCCCTTAGAAATCCTGGGTCATCCCTATCCTTGATGAAGACATGACGTATGTGAGGAAAGACAAAGTAGTGAGAGGAAATAGTAAGTGGCTACCACAATATAAGTGAACCTTCAGAAATGCAAGGAGAGCATTAAAGCAAAGTGGCTGTAAGAGAATTGAGCGTTATGCAACAAGTCTTTTTCTTAGAATTCCAACGGCATCTGGGCCCATTAATTTTGGGTAAATGAAGTTCCACTGATATTCCTTAGAGTCTTTAGCTTCAAGTTTCTATAAAAATAGGCCTTAATGGATTTTAAAGAGTTAGGAATATTTCACAGACACTAATACCTAATGAAATAGAAATAATTATTCCTCATTTTTGTTTCAGCCTTACTTGCACAGGCCTTCGAACTATTGAAGAAGTATTTATAAACATTTATAAAGATACTCTTCATATCCTGGAGTAAATTTGGTGTTCTCCTGCCTGCTATGAAAGCAGGTAAACAGAAACAGAGAAATTAAATGAACTTTTAAAGAGAAACCTAAAGATATACAGGCAATCATTCTAGTCTAGAAACTACTTCCTTCCTACAAAACTTCTTAAAATAGAAGGATTTTCCAGTTTAAAAAAAGACACATGTCTAAAATTCAACAGTGAGGGTCACCTATGAACACCAACACATAATTTTCCTCTAACGATTTCAGCAATAAATTGCTAAGACTCTATAAGACTGACTAAATTAAGATGTAGTACCAAAAGAAAAGATTAAAAAACAAAACTTTAACCTCATTACAGAATTAGGCCTTACATATTTACCCTTTTTTCCTCTTTAAATTCTGTTTAATTTTGTATATAATTTGTGGGTTTTCTATTTTTCAATAATGCCCTTTTTTCCTCAAATAAAAGATGTAATGATCTCATGAATTCTTTCTAAACCAAAGTTTTACAATAAAACTGCCATTACCTCTTTATGTTGTTCATTGCTTTTCTTCAGAAAACAAGTGTAAAAGTTAAATACTGCCCTTATAAGCCAACAAAACAAGATCACTTTTTAAACTTGTGCCCAATGCTGCATTTGGGGCCTCTTTTGCAAATGTGCGATTACATTTTCATGCAACTGAAGTGATAACAATTTCTCCTCCAAATTACTTTGTATCCCCACAACCAAGTGGACTTCAGTGTGTAAAACAAAAGTTTACTGAGGTTTGAGAAGCCTGTCCTACTCAGAGAGAGGCTGTTTCATTTTGAAAAGAGTGCCTCTCCATTTTGTACTCACTGCAAACAAAGAGCTCCTGGCTTTTTAGTAGCAACAATGAGAGACAATTAAAGACTGGTGAGTCAATGTTCAAGTCATCCGCCCAGCTGAGGAATTGGCCATTGACAGCTGGACTGATGGAATATTATGAGTCGTCAAAGGAAGCCCATAAGAACCATATGGAGTGACATACCAACACTTTTAATGTGCCCATCAGAAACTCCCACAGCTGATGGCGTTCACATAGCTGTAGGTTATTAGGAAGGAGCCTTAAATGAAGGAGGGTGTCCTCTTTAGGGTCATTCACTATCATAATAATGTTAACTAAAACCTGCTGGTGGCGAAGCAACTTCATAGGACTAATATATCACTGTTTTTTTGACATCTGACAAAAGCTATAAGGAGTTCTATCTTCTGTGTGTCTTGAGAAATTAATTTTATGTCTGAGTTTTATAGTGATCTCCAAGGACTAATAAATGTGGCTTTTTACCTGACTTGTATAGCTCTTAAAATTTCAAAACATGCCTTTGTTAAACACATAAAATTTCATTTGAACTACACGTAAAAAAAAAGCTAAAAAAAAAAAAACCACTGAGAGTCTCTAAATAATCTCTTGAATACCTCAAGTGAATAATCAGATAAATTTATAATATATAACCAACATGAAAGTTTTGGAATTCTATCCTGAGTAGCCAAGACTCCATGTGAAGTGAAGACATAGGGATAGGTGTACTTCTCTGCAGATTATTTTTTAATATTATTCATAACAGGATAAGGATGTATTACTTATGAGTAAAACTCAATCATTAAGTAAAAAGTAGCTTTAGGATAAACCCAACCTATAGATGTCATTATACGATGGAGAAGCCAGGTTCTTCTTCCATTTGAATTTCCAGTATGCCGATGTTCAGAAAAATATGATAAAATAGGATCACATAGTCCAAGAACAATCCAGGACTCTATTGTTCCCTCAACAAACACTGAGTAAGAACCTGTTATATGTAAGAGCCTGAGACCTCCATAATTAATAACTGTGGCTCAATTTAAGGACTTGTGTTTCTGGACGTGGCTAAGAGAAAGGAAATCAAGTGTGAAGCCAAGCGCACTGGCTTCTGCACAAGCCAATAAGGGAATGCCAAAGAATCACTCATGACTCATTATAAGATAATGATCAGATTTTTCTCATATATGTAGATGCTTTACTCAACAAGGTTAATATTGTTGAACCAATAAAGCATTTAAATAAAAAGCACAAACGAGCAACCTATTAAATAAAAGGAAAAAGAAAGTTTTTAAGTTTTCCTTTTCAATGATAATGCTTCTCTACAAGTGAAGAGCACGTGAATTAGGACCAATCTGAAAAGAAAGTACTACTTTGAGGCAATACCATTCTCTCTCTTTACTGCACACAGTTGTCATCCTTCATCCACAGACCACCACATGTGGCATTCACGTAGACAAGGAGTTGGGACTTAGGGGCAGGTTTAGCTGCTGACAATCTGATGAGTAAATGTCTAGGAAGCACATTCGGGGCTGCTTGGCGCAAAGAGACTCCCAACCCCAGAGCACTGCACTGATTCCCCCTCTTTCACTTGATTTTTAAGCTTTTCCATTTCCAAAGTTCTGACCTGCCTTGTATTGTCTTATGATGTGGTCGGTCAGGGACAGTCACGAGAAGAGACAGAGGAGAGAATCGGGAAAACAAAGCTGATTATATTCACAGGTCCTGGAGACCAGAGGCACGGCAGAGCCACAGGGAAATACACCAGGGTGGTCAGGAAGCAGAAAACAGGAGAACACAGCTGGAGCCTCAGCCCTTTCCGGGGTTCTGTGGAAAAAGCAAGCCAGGGCAGGTAAACAGTTTAGGACTGGCTAGTTTGAATAATTTCAGCAGGCGTTGGGCTATAGGGATGGTTCTCCAGGTGCTCAGTACCTGGCCCTGGGACAATGAAGGCAGAGAACTATTGCTCCTGGGGCGTAGGACCCAGGTCGAGGAGGTGTGGCTCGGGGTTCATTGGTTTGCCTATCAAAGGCATGTGCTAGCTGGGCCCTCCGCTAGCTCGGAAGAAATAGCTAGCCCCAAGAGAGGCAGGCAGTCCCTCCCCAGCCAGATTTTTGTTAAGATATCAAAACATCATAATATACAGAAGATTAAATATATATATACACACATAAAAATGTAACACATTGCTTTAGAATGAACTCTAATAAGAGAAACCTTACATGAATTTATCTTTACACAAAAGTAGTAAATGATGGCCATTTATGCATCATGCTTTTCGGGGTACTTTATGAAGACTAATGTTGATTTATTTCCCATCCGCATTTTTTTAAGCAGCAATTTTTATGATAAGTCAGCAGAAAAGCGAAATAAAGACTCGCAAGTCCCATGGTCTTCACTTCACTTGCTCTCTCACTTTTGAGCTGTATTTCAGAAACCCCGTTTTTCTTTCCTTCCTCTTCTACTACGTGGAGACTTAGATACATGATACTTGTTTCTCCTTAAAAGAGAGCACAGTACCACAACCAATTCCTTTGGCACACGCAGGGTTAGCACAAAGGCTTCTCTGGCAGAGACTCAGGCTTTTCTGCAGAAGACAGAGCAAGGAATTTTTGAGGCCCACATTGGCGAGGCTCTAGGTACTGAGGTTTGCTCCATCTTGACATTGATGCCTAAATGCGTGAAAGACGGCTCAAGGCTGCAGAGGAAGGGACTCACTGAAAATTGTTGCAGGTTAAAGGATGAGAAGACCCACAGGAAATCGATTATGTCCACTGTTTCCGAAGTGATAAAAACCCTGGGAAGATTTGGTCTCTATCTGCTGCATGGCGAGGTGGCCACATAATCTTGGCTGGCCTGATTCCCTGTGCCACCTGTTTTCCCAGGGGAGTTTGAATAAGCTCTCTTTTGTTTTCAAAGGTGTCCCGATAGTTTTAGTTCCGATTCTAGCTCCACTGTGTTCTAGGAAAACTGGAGCAAGTTTCTTGATGTTGGGCAGTTTTATCATGTGTAAATGGTCACAGTGGTACCCCTCTCATAGGATGTTTGTGCAAACTGTATTAATACCTGTGAAGTGCTTAGAATAGTGTCCGGTACTTAGCAAGGACTCAATAATAGCTATGATTTTATGTCACGGCATTTATTTTATGAATCAAGAATTATTATGTAGTGGTTTCCTACATTTTGGAGTCATCAGTGGTTATCTGCCTATATATGTAATGAAATAAATATGAGGAGATTTGGTCTCTAGAGAGAATACACATTCTCACAGTGTATAACGGATAATTTTTTGTCCAGCGGTAAAGAGAAAAGTATGGGTTTTTTTTTCAAGTTTTTATTTAAATTCCAGTTAGTTAACATACAGTGTAATATTAGTTCCATGTGTAGAATTCAGTGATTCAACACTTCCATACAACGCCCGGTGCACATCACAAGTGCCCTCCTTAATCCCCATCACCTATTAGCCCATCCCCCACCCACCTCCCCTCCAGCAACCCTCAGTTTGTTGTCTAGAGTGAAGAGTCTGTTTTCTGGTTTGCCTCTTCCCCCTCCCCCAACCCCTGCCATATTCATCTGTTTTGTTTCTTAAATTCCACACATGAGTGAGATCATATGGTATTTATCTTTCTCTGACTGACTTATTTTGCTTAGCATTATACTCCCTAGCTCCATCTACATCACTGCAAATGGCAAAATTTCATTCTTTTTTATGGCTGAGTAATATTGTGTGTGTGCGTGTGTGCATGTGTGCGTGTGTGCGTGTGTGCATGTGTGCGTGTGTGTGTGTATACACAAATATATATAGGTTGATTCTTTTAAATTGGAGTTTTGTGTATAACAAATGTAGAGTATACTACTGAATACGAAGATGCATTTTTTTCTTTTAATTCTCAATTCAGAAAATAGCTTGCAATCAATGTATATAAAAATTTTGGTATTTCCTATCCCACAAATTTGTTTTGGAATCATGAGATTTAGAATCATGAAAATAATGGAAATATATTTTGGAAGTATATGCACACATACTTATATATATGTATATATTTATTATATCTGTGTATATATATCAAATATCTGCTTTCCTTATGTATGTGCATATTTGTGTTCAAAGTGGCTTAATTTAGAGAGATATTGATACATTTGGCCATATTAAAATTAAAAGACATTGAAAGAAAGGGAGAGGACTAGCCACAAAATGGGAGATGTTACTTGCAACACATAGAACTGAAGGTGACAGTATCTAGAATATATAAAAGGCATACACATGAATAAAAAGAAATAGAAAAAAAAGGGGAAGAGTCAGGAATAACTATTTCATACACAAACAACACTTTTGGCCAATAAACAGATGAACTTGATTCATGTCATGAAAAATCTCAACGATGTGTATTAGATCACAATGCAATATCATTTTTCAAAATATGCGGCAAAAATGAGAAGTATGATAATGCCGAGCGTTAGAGAATGAAACCATGTCCTTGGTTTTATGAAAATAATTTATAAGGTTGTAGATCTCGTAAATTCAAACATTTATATACCCAATGGCCAGCAAGTGCTTTCCAAGTACACATGCAAGGTAAATATTTGCATGTGTGGACCAGGCACGACATGAGAGAGTTCCTACGCTAGAGTTCACAACAGCAAAAGCTTTGAAAATTCCAAATGTCCATTCACAGGAAAATGGATAAATTCTGGTATATGGTTGTGTGGTATATATTTGTATTATAAAATAATTTAAAAATGAGTGAATTACAGATACAAGGATGAATCTTAGTAAACATACATATTGAGAAGAAGCAAAAGTAAACGAAACCAAACGATGCACGGTACAGACCTAGGCATATCTTTTTGCTTATGTATATACGATAAAACTATTTTTAAAAGGGATAATAAATAAATATGGGATATTGTTTACCTCTCAGGCAAGTGAAGGGGGTCAGAAAAGAGTGTACATATAAACTTAAGAGAAACATACTATTCTGGCTCTTGGGTTAGGTTGTAGGCTTATGGGCATCTTTATGTTATTAAAACAAATAAAAGAAGGCCATGCTTGTTCAAACGATGATAGTATATCCTGGCCCAAGCATAATGATTAACTTAATTCCAAGCATCTGGGGTCCAGAAAAGAGGGCAACTGGCTTTAAAAGATTAATGGTGAGCAGGTTATTTGCTTTTACAGACTTCCTTGTTGTACTTTGTATCATACTGAGTATCTTACGAGAGTCACTCCACATGTCTTACTTTGTCTTTTTGTAATAAACGTCAAAAGATAGAGTTTTACAGAATAGAAAAACATTTCCTTTCACATTTTACAAAATCTACTATGGTGATTGCTGCTTGGCAGGCAGTGGAGAGTAGAGTTGATGCCTTCAAAGATTCACCAACTGTCTGGGCAACTTAATGAGACAGCAAAAAAAGCAAACAGATTTATATATATATATATATAAAAGAAAACAAACTAGAGAAGCCTATTTGCTTTGCTTTTCTTCTTGCCAATCACCTTTATTTGGCAGATCTTTGTGTGCTGCGCATGCCATGAGCTCTCTGTTCCTAGTGATAAGTACAGATCAGGTAGAGGTGAATCAAGTCCATTGTCCAATTTTAAAATATGAATCCCATTTCCTTCCCCCCCCCAAGTTTTTATTTAAATTCCCATCAGTTAACATACGGTATAATATTAGTTTCTGGTGTAGAATTTAGTGATTTATCACTTACGTACAACACCCGATGCTCTTCACAAGCGCCCTCCTTCATACCCAGGTGTAGGCACAATCGGAGAGAAAAGTGTATGGCACAAAATGGTTTTATAAAAATACCCCAGAAGAAAGCTTTTGAAATTCATTCATCTTCTAATCATTACTACCTACATATGGAATAAGATGTTACAGCTAAAGCACAGCTTTTTTTTTTTAAAGATTTTTTATTTATTTATTTGAGAGAGAGAGAGAGAGAATGAGAGAGAGAACATGAGAGGGTGGAGGGTCAGAGGGAGAAGCAGACTTCCTGCTGAGCAGGGAGCCCGATGTGGGGCTCGATCCTGGGACTCCAGGATCATGACCCGAGCCCAAGGCAGTTGCTTAACCAATTGAGCCACCCAGGTGCGCGTAAAGCACAGCTTTAGACATCATGCTTTGCACTTGGTAAAGTTTAAAGTTTGCTACTGTGATCAACTGAATTCCTGGCAACTGAACAAAAGTATATAATCTAGAGGCGTAGTAAATGTCAATAAAATATCAGGCAGATCAATATATAGAATATAAGGACATAAAACCCTGAATTGAGCCAACCTAACAAAAACCATTCCTAAATATCAAATTATTCACTCTACACAGAATGGGCCTGACTAATTCCAGAAATGAAAAGGCAGCACTTTCTTCCTCTCAGAACTTTAAGGCTATGACAACAGACTTGGCATTTGATCAAAATCTCCAAATTGATGATGTCAAGAATTTCAGCTGAGGAGTGCATGTACATCTGTTTCCTCCCATGGTTGCTCCCGTAACCATGCTTCAGGACGCTTCTGCTCTTTGCAGAGAGCTTTCTAGTTCAAGAGGAGTTGGGAGTGGGGTAGAATGAGTAAGAAAGGGACAAAGACCTAGCTGTCATTCCTTCATGCATGCAATAAATATTTATTCTGTGTCTTCTCCATGCCACGTACAGCACTGGATGCTGGAGAGCAATGCCCAGCAAAAAACAGCAAGGCCCCTGCGCTGGGGCGGCTCACAGTCCTTTGGGGGCTGCAGCCCAAGGAACAGAGATGTAGATGGCGGAGAGGCGTGGGCTGTGACAGAAGCATCTATAACACTTGCAGCAATCTGAACTTTAAG